TGGATACTTCTTGATGCAACCTTAAAGGAATACGTTTCTCCTCCTGGGATCCATTAGCTTATAAACCACTACACTGTGGAGCCACTTAACAAATGCATGTATTTAAATTAATGAATTATTGATGCATTTTTGGTAAATTACATCTAACAATGGAAAACATCTGACTCAGTGTGACACAATATATGTGATGAGTCACAATCACACTCAGTTAAAGTGGTTCTGCTGCTGGACTACACTATATGAAAATGTCCCTGTTTACCTGACAACCAATACATATACTCACGTCATTAGGTACTTCTGTTCAACTGCTGGTTAAATAAATGTCTAATCAGCCAATCACATGGCAGGAACTCAAGCCGAAGTTCAAACTGTGCACCGGAATGGTGAAAAAAGGTGATTTAAGAGAATCTGAATGTAACATTGTTGCTGGTGCCAGATGGGCTGATCTGAGGATTTCAGAAATTGCTGATGTACTGGGATTTTCCCAAACAACCATCTCTAGGGTTTACAGAGAATGGTCTGAAAAAGAGAAAACATTTTGTGAGCAGCAGTTCTCTGGGCAAAAATGCCTTGTTTATCCCAGAGGTCAGAGGAGAATGGCCAGACTTCTTTAAGCTGATAAGAAGGCAACAGCAACCCAAATAATCACTCATTACAACCAAGGTATGTTGAAGAGCATGTCTGAATGCACATCATAATCTTGAAGCAGATGGGCTACAGCAGCAGAAGACCATACCAGGTGTCTTTAATAAGGACCTCTCTTAAATATAGATGAGCAGATGATTTCCCCCGTTCCACAGTTCTAAGTAAAAAACCTTTCCTGATCTCATAACATGCCCGATCACTGTAAGAGCAGTGGCTGACGTCATCTACATTTACAGCACAGCTAATCAAAAGCTTGACTGTGGGAAGTTATTTCTTAAAACAATGTTTTTAGTGTTCAGATGTGCTTCCCTCATCTATTTCATCTTCATGAGACAAAAATAATTTTTTACCAGAAATCCACAGGAAGATGAAAACAGCATCATTACATCACTGTGGTTAAGCAAGACCCAAGTCCAATACAAAGGACAGATGTTAAAAAAAATATCATTCAAAATTTAGATTTTTTTTTTTTTTTTTTACATTTCTTTCAATCACAATGCTTAAAATATCTTAAAAAAAAAATCTGACATGTACATTTGTACCTTTGTGATGCTGTGATGAGACACATGAGATTTTCATCATGGACCGAACTTACAGAGGCTCCAATATGTCAAATATTTGAAAGCTAAAGCCTTTATTCCTTTTTACATGAAATCTTGTGCTTGCACTTTTTATGGCTGGTCATTAACTCCTTGTTGAGTTTTCCTATTTTGCTGGTACTTGTACATTTACTCCCTGTGGAGATTTCTTTCTGCCACTGATTCATTTTTATTTATTTATTTTAAACATGTCAAACTTTTGGGTTAGCATCTTAAAATTTCAACTTACTCAGAAGTAACTTGAAATTTGAGATAATAACTTGACATATCAACTCAGCTTTGCTTGATAATTCCCTGTTTTGTTTTTAGCATTTCACACAATTTCATTCAGAGAAGAGTTTCGGTGAAAATTTATGTGATGTAAGTTCACATCTTTGTACCCCGTACTTACTACCTGCTATCAGGAACTCCTGACAGCAGATTGAAAAACTTAAGATTGTAAGAGTTAAGATGGCTGCAGCAGCAAACATTAAAAACAGTGTTTGCTGAGTTAACTAAAGAACTTAGCTTCCATTTCTCCCTTCCTTTTCCCTCAAAAGTCAACTATTTGAACAATTTAAAAGCAAACAAATTAAGCAGACCTGTTTTACCAAGCAATGTTGGCGTCTTAAACACAGTAATCCTGATGATCTCTTGGTTTATTTTCCCAAAACAGAGCTCTATTCATAGCCACAGAAGAACCCTAATTGTATAGCAGACTTTAGAAATTACCAGGGTCTCCATAGAAACTCAGACAGTGATAAGTGGTAGGAAATAGCAAAGTTAATACTCCTTTTAATACAGACAGTGGATAAGAATGTGAGGGAAAACTGAAGAACAGAGCTGCTTTTGATAAAGGAGCTGCCTGCCGCTGATGAATCACACTGAGAATCACCCTGCTGTTTGGGAACTAGATTTACTCAGAGATGAGGGACCACACCTTTCTGTATCTGGGGACACATCCAGGATGATGTCAAGGCAAGATGGATCATCCAGGATCTGATGAAAAGCAACAAAAGGAAAAGCGCTGGTTCAGCCAGGAAAGGGAAAAAACCTGACCATAACCTCACTTCCTAAGAGAGTTAGGACTTCAAACTGGCTGGAATTGCGCAAATGGCAAGAAGTAATAAGACCACCCATTACACTAAGCACAGGCCAAAACACCAAAAAAATCCCAACAAATTTCCTTTGTAATCAATGAGGAGTGAAGTTTATTTAAACCCGAAAACACACAATATGATCATATATCTTTAAAATCTTATCAAAAGTGGGGGAAAAAAGTTTATCTGGGTCAAACAAAAGCTAAACCCCTCCCCCAGAAACCACTGGTTTGGCTGTGAGAGGATACCAGGGTCCATGAGGGCTGAGAGGTCACAAGAGGAAGCCATCCTTCATCTGGTCACTCAGGCACTGGTCACATGGACTGACACACACTTTGAATGCTTCCTGGAAAGCATTTGTGAACAGCTGACCGGCTGTGCTGAGGGATGAGCGGGTTTGATTTTCTTCAGATGACCATTTTACACACTCAACGGACACACACTCAGACAGATCTGTTTTTGGAGTGTTTACAACACATTATGTGGGTTAGAACAACAAGGACTGTGTGATGGATCGTGTTTATATATTCACTGTGTTCACTGAGTCGTGCTCATTTTTCCACAACTACCCAGCCTTTGGAATAAAATAAAACGCTAAGATACAGTCACACATCATATAAATTCCTCTTATTAGAATATGTGGTGGGATATAAATCGTGCCAATTATGCACAGGCTCAAATGTGGGTTGGTATATCTATCAATTTGTAAACCTATAGAAAACCTGTAGATATAATGTATAATGTCACTTGTTGAAAACATTGGAAACAGAAGGACATAAATACAACAACAGTGAGATTTGAGGCACTTGTGCTGCAGTTAAGAAGCAAATATATTTCAGTGTGCATGTGTAGTTCTGTGTCACAAAATAGTATGGGAAATTTGAGTTTCCTTCTATAACTTAGCACATAAAATAAAGGTGTTTCTAAACTTTGAACAAGCTCATGATTGATTTTACTTCTATACATACATAACTTTTGGAAATATACAAACTGACACATATTCAATGGGTCACTGGGGTCTTTATCCATCCATTTATTCATAAAATATTTTCCTTCTTTCTTTTGATCAAGTCTGCCACTGCTACTATTCAAACCAAGTGACTCATCTACCATGGCACAAGTTCTCCTCCTTGTGGCATTCGAATGCACAACAATGCCCACACATCAATGCAAAGAGAAGAGAGGTATCAAAATAAGTTTTATTTTTTTTACATAAGAACATTGTCAAAACTTGAAAACATTTTTGCATATAAACCTTTTAAAACAAGGAAACAATGTTTAAATTTCACAGATTGTACAAAAAAAAAAAAAATCGACAAAAATTATTTTTGTGAGTGATTCATCCCCCTCTTTTGCATTTTTTATTTGAACCCACCACCAAAGCAATTGCGAGGTGCAGCGTTAAACTGCCAAATGGAGGTCACAGAAACAGCGCGGCGTCTTCGAAACACTCGTAGTGTTCACTGCCTGTTGAGTCTTTCAAAGCGAGAACGACGATGCCGTACAGGACGGCACATCTTCAAAGTCTATGAGGAGCCTTTTAGCCTGTAAGAATCACTGACCCTTTAAGTCTGGGGTAAACCACTATATTATTTAAGGCTCGTTATCTCAATTGTATTTCCATGTTTCTAAAACGCAAAGCAGAACAGAATCAAAATGTATACACACATTAAAACTAGCACCAACCCGTATCTTTTCTTAAGCCAAAGCAACATTCATCTCTAAACAGACCAACTTGTTTTTGAGCAGAACTCGTGCTGTCAAAAACCGATTGGAGGTTATGTGAATCCTCTCCGAGTTTCTGTCGTCATAGGAAGCTCTGTGGTACTTCAATTATCTCGGTGAGAAATGACAGAAGATCCTGTAGTCCGCTTAGTTATGAATCACCATAAAAAATGTAAACATTGACAATGAAATATCGATTTTGTTTTAAATATTATTTCTATTTCAGTCGCCCTGCATGCTCTTAAATTGGCATTGTTCCAGACAGACACCTAGCTGAAAAGGTGGTGCTTTTCCATTTTCCTCTCAAACCGCAGCTTTCTTCATGGTGAAAATCAGAATTATTTGTTGTTTGGAGAGTGAACATTAAACAGCTGTCTTATTAATATTTAATACATGTCCTGAGAGTTTACATTTAACCACTTATGAAGACGCTGCATAACAACAGAGTTGGTTGCAGGCTCTATCTGAACCATCCCAAACTCAAAATTTCAACATGCACGGCTCTGGAAACCAATCGGAAGAAAGAAACATGCGCTGACTTCTTTAATGATAATCCCTACTTCCTGCAGTGCTCGCTGTTACAACAATCAGCTGTTAATCATCCTCAATTTGTATTAGACTAAATCTTTAAGCAGCGCCAGATCTTTCTTCCATTTTCCCCCCTCTCATTTGCTTCAGAGTCTGTGTCACAGGAGGTCCAAAAAAAAACAATTAATAATAGAATACTACACTAAATAATAAACTACATTACCAATCTGATACCCCTCCACAGCTAATATCTGTATAATTTCACTCAACTGGACATTTATAACACACTCACTTCTGTATATAACCCATCAAGTGTTCAAGTTCATCCACCAGCAGCTTAAACGGGCCCTTATACTCCTAAAAGAACAGCCACCTTAGTAAGTGAGGTTGACACATAGATGACTTGACCCCCATCACACGCACATACATTGTCCACCCAGCTTTTAATTAGTGTCACCTGTCAGATTCCAGTGCAGCCAAGCCACATAATTCTCAAAAATCAATAGCTCATCACAAATCATTGACCTTGCATCCAAAAAAACAATAACAAAAAAAGATAACAACAGAAAAAAGAAAAATGAATGCAGCCCCAAAAGCAAAAGTTAAACACCGCACTGATTGCAAGCACATGTAAATTAGGGCGACTAGTTGCCGTCACCTTCTCAGGCATTAGCATGTTTATGCTTGATTTTTAACTATGGCATCAATCTCATTTCTAAAGCTCGTCTTTTTAAAAATGTGGAAGGCTGAAAACCCCCCAAAACAAAACAAAACAAAAAAAATCCTTTTCATCTGTCACATTCTCCCATCTCACTTTCACTTTTCTTCCATCTTAAACCCTCTCCCACTCTTTTTTTGCCATTTAGATTTAAGACTGAAGCGTGCAGTTCACCAAACTAGCTGAAAAGCTACCCCACCCATCATCATCACCATCTTCAGTTCAGCGCTCTACGCCCCAGTGACAAGACAATTCCTCATCAAGCTCTCCTGTCCTGTGCAGAGGCAGAGCTGTGGACTCACTGCCCATCAGGCTTCACTTTAAAGAAGTCTGATTCAGCATTCGGTAATGAAGGGGAGCGCGGAGACTTAGGTGGACCGTTGCCCCCCTCTACAAACATGTTCGGGATGTCCTGGCCAAAGTAGATCTTACTGTTAGCTGCTATGGCCTGGTACTTCATCAGCTCCAGGTATTCAGGTGTCAACTTCAGCTGTAAAGATTTAGAAGAGAGACAGCAGAGTGTGAGGATTCAATTAGTGCTGGATCACATTGCTGTTTATGATAACACTTTATCTTAATGTGACTATATACAGCTACATGGCTAAAAATAAATGCAACATTGCAGCTGGACCAACTTCAGAGATGAGCAATTAAATTAACTCTGATCAAGTGGAGCTGCTTCAAGACCTGACTCTTGTCAGGAGGACGGTAATTAATGGTTTGTGACATCTTTCTGCAATTAGCCAGTTTGGTAGAGTTTGTCGAAAGTCTGCATCTATTTAAAGTTGATTCTGTTTAGGTCGGGTGAAGTGAGGTTATTAATATCATTACAGCAGGTTTGTGTGGATCCATGCATTTGCTGTAAAAACCTACAAATAAACACACTAAAACTATGTTACTACAACTGCTGGAAATCTACGCCATAACCTATGCTGTAATCTAACGTGCACTTCCCTGGGAGTTTAGCTACACACTCAGTCGACACAGCCCGCAACTATTGTAAATGGTCTGTTCAGTACAATAGAGTCCTCCTGTGAGTTTCTGGCTACTTGTTCCACCACAGTTTTTAAATTTATCATTGAGAAAATATGGATCATCATCTCAAAATAAGGAATGATAATCATAGCATCAATATAAGAACTCACAAATGTCAACAAATTTCTGGATGCAGACTGTTGTAATGATCAGAACTGATGTGAATGTATGTACAGAGAAGTAGAAAAACTTCAGGGACAAATATGTTTGCCGCTAAAAAAAACAAACAAACAAAAACAAAACAGACCATTACAAAGAGCAGGGACCAGGGAGGGAAAAAGCCCCAACATTTCAACTGTTTCTATCAGCTGACACCGCATCAGGACACAACCACAAGGTAATTAACACATATTGGACCAGCACAAGCATAAATGCGTCAACAACGTCAGCCACCTACATAGGTTACATCATGGGCTCTACAAAGAAGTCTAAATCAAGTCTTATTCTCTTTTACATTAGGGATTTTTTTATTACTATAGCCACTGCAAAAACACCTCTCAGCAGAGTGTTACTGTTTTAAAACTATACGATCTGTGATGACAGAATTTGATGTTAACAACAAAGTGTTTAAACTGTTTGGGTCTTTTTACCCTGTTTGCTTCAGCAAACTTGGCAGCAGTGTAAAATTCTGCATCAGCCTTAGCTTTCTCTCTGGCCAGGAAGGCAGCATCTGAAACAAAGAAACACTGTTGAATGAGACAAATAAACCAGCACACCACAACTCAGGAACACACAGATTCATGTCACAGAACGGAACCAAAGGGTTTTAGGCAGACCCTCTATTTCAGAGATCTTCTTCTCTGTCTCCTTCTCCATCACCTTCTGCTGGAACTGGATCTCTGCCACCTGAGCCACTTTCTGAGCCTCTGTGTGACAGAAAAGAGAAGGCTGAGGTTGGCAGTGGGGTTACGCATGAATAACTTTGAGAGGCAAACTGCTAAAATTGCACCGATGGTCATGCAAATAAAAACTAACTGCCTGCTTTACAGTAAAACAGCGCATTTACCAATAATGGCTTTCTTCCTTTCAGTCTCAGCTTCCTTTTCCACCACCTTCTGAGTCTGAGCTGTTATTAGCAAACGAGTCTTTTCTGCTTCCCTGCACATACACAAACACACAGACAGACACAGACACACAAGGATAGACACAAATGAGGTTCTTGCTAATATTTTGCTTTCCATGTGGTCTTGCATGAATTGAGTGAGGAAATCACAGAAACTAAACCACGTACAAAGTCTATGCTGGTAACTTCAATTGTACAAACTCACATAAGTTCAAAGTTCCTCCTGATAGACTCAGGGATCTTTGGTTTGGTAACACGAACTGCCTTTATCGGAAACAGTAAAAAAAAAAAAAAAAAAGAAGAAGAGGGAAACAGTGAGGGAAAATTGCTCACAAAAATAAAAAGACACATGAAACAGATAGATTGGCCTACTAGTATCTATTCAGACTTTGACTCCTCCCCTCAAACTGGTGAACAAATGTCATTTATTTTTTTATATTTTCATTTTTATTTATTTATTTATTTATTGTGTGTGTGGGTTTGGGGGAAGGGGGTTGTTTGTTTGGGTGACACACTAACATCCGTTTCTAGCTGTGCACTAATGGTCCTGGCCCATGAGCAGGGGTCATTAAACAAACACTAACAGACAGTAACCTGGTTTACCCCGTGGCTTAAAATGAATTTATAGTTCCTGCAAGAAGCTAATAGGTAATGCAGTAAATAACAGTTTAATCTGACTTCTGTTTTACCTCACCTCAAAGGGAGCATTTTTAACTGTATTAACACAGGCTAGTGCGGAAGAAAACGTGCGATAGGTTTGGGCTATTTGGTGATCAACTGCCAACGAGGAAGAGGAAAAAACAAACAAAAACAAAACTATTAGTGTACTAGTAGGCAGTACAAATGACTGATTGTTAATCTCTACTCTCTGTACATTTGCTGCTAGTGCCCAAATCTAGCTGGTATGAAACTGTGTGTTATTTACCAGCTCCATGTGCAATCTCACCTTTTTCCCACTAAACATTCTCTATTTCAGCTGGAAATGTTAAACTATGTATAATATACACTGCTAAGTACTGAGTGTTACCTTAAAGTCTTTGTAAAAGGGACAGAGCGAGGGAATGAGGGAAGGTGGAATCTCAGTTCTGGATGCGTCACAGCACAAAACCAACTAGCTGATTTTATCATCCCTAAAATGTCACTGAAAACATGCAGGTTATGTGTCTGTTTAGGTACCTGTATTGTAAGTCCAGGTGCCATAACATTCAGATCTTTCTGTAATGCCGTCTTCAGATTCTCATCTATGATGTCTGCAAACAAAATAAAAGAAAAAGTTCTAATGTATGATCTAATTTCAGGAATTTCAGGATTGTAGTAAAATGCAACATAAATGTACTAACCAAACAACTCAATGTAAACCTCCTGTAGCGTGTGCACGCTGCAGAACTGGTTGAGTTCATGGTGAATTTTGTTGAAAATTAGAGTTTTGTCGTAATCAGCGGTGTAGTTCCTCACAATGTCCACCACTGAATATAGCAGAACAAAAGCAACAATTACTTTCATGCCAACAGGGTTAATAAGTCAACAAAATAAGGAAGTTTTGCAGTGAAAGAAATTCACAAAAACAAGCTGCACCTGCTGAGGGGACGAGCATGTTCACAACTTCTATCCTGTCAAAATAGATCATCACACCTCCACTGTGAAGAAAAAAAACATTTCAGGTAAATATATATTAATGTGGGAATGAATTTATTAACAGCTGAATAAGGAAGTTCAATCACACCTTGTTCCACAAGGCACATTCTTGATCTCATCTGTTTGGAGTGTAGTCTGAAAAAAAACATTGAAAATATTGTGACATAGTTATCAGTATAAATGATCTGTGTGTTTTCCTTTTTGTTAAAACTGAGCATATAAAATCCAGGGTACAACAGGTTCAACTGCTATTAAACATAGCTGAAGTTCAAACTAAGCATCAAAATTGGGAATAAAGGACTACAATTTGCACAGAATCACAAAAATTGAAATCATGGATCCATCCTGCCTATTTCATGCTTATGGCCATACGACTCCAAGCACCCCCTATCTTTTCTGATTTGCAGGAGTTCTTCATCATTCAAATGCCACAGCCTTAAATGTCATCTCTGTATGATCTTCTGATGGCTGCTTACAGCAGAATAACACAACATGTCATAAAGGTCAAATCATCTCAAACTGGTTTCTTAAACATAACAATCAGTTCACTGTACTCAAGTCGCCTCCACAGACACCAGTTATCAGTCCAAAG